AGAGTAGTGACAGCATTCCCACCCGATAAAGAAGAAGAACGGAAGAACTCTGGATAGAGTAAAAGCATTAATAATTTAATAATAATAAATAAATAAAAATAAATATTAATAAAAAAAACAATAATAATGTAACTAAAAACATATATCATATTATTATAATTTATGCATTATTTTTCTTGCAGACATGGCATATTCCCAGTCGCAAAGAGGGAATTAAACCAAGACCAGTGGCAATTGTTGTCATTCAGAATTCAAAACCGAAATTCAACCAACAACTGCCTGGGGTTGCTGCTGATCATTATACAAACCAACTTGGAAGGGATAACTACAAAGTTGGTTTTATTATTAACCCATAGACCTTTTCTGAGATACATCGGAAGTGTACGAACGCAAAGCATTATGGTCTAGATTCGGTAGAAACAAATATAGGAAAAACCTATGAATGTTCCAGGTTTTGCCACGAATGTTTGCTCAATCTCCACGAATCAGCCAGCAAGTGTTAAATCGAGCTTCTGTTTTACGCTAAATGGCCATGGATGTGAATACTAAAGACTTTTCTGAAGTGAAAAATGATGAACTTGGTTTTTTTTCTTGCAAAAGCGAGGAATCCCGTTTCACGATACTTGCCGGGGCAGCGAATAATCTGGCATTCCTGAACATGTTGAACATGGATTACAGAGAGAGAAACGAAGAGTTTAAATTAGAAAGCTTCATAAATGAATTGAGGATCTCGCTCTTTTTCTCTCTTCACTTTATATATTTATATATAAATTAAATTGTTAAATTGTTTTAAAGTCATTATTTATTTATCTGTAAAAAATTGAATGTTTGAGAGATACAAATGCGGTTTAGAGCTTCGCATGTTTGCTCTTATGAAAATTTATCTATTAATTCATTTGCGTAAATAAATTACATTTTACCCATACAAAACTTTTCCTGGAGATGTAAAAGAAATAATAATTAAGAAAATACAATACAAACTTAACTCTAATGTGTATTAACATGTTCACACAAAACATCCAAATCAACAACAGATAACAAATTAACATATATCACCTAAATCCAGTTTTCAAATTGATTTGTATACATTAATTGTCTCATCAATTCCTTAATAATAGGAAATATATTTAGATCTCTTTTGTTTGATTCATTTCCTGCTTTTATTGGCTGGATATTAGCGTGACTAATTTAAGACCACCAATCGGCTGTAATATAATATATGACATATATGATTTATCCAGAAATAAATTTATACAAAATGACTAACTGCTTCTTAAAACCAATTCTTTCAGGAAAGAAAGAAATTGCTACCTGGATAGAGGAGCTTTAGGGCATAGCAAACCTCAAGAGTTCTTCTCCATCGCTGTTGATGGCATGGATCAACACAAGACAGAACTCCCGTTTATCAAGTATCATTTTAAAACCTTGGACACGGCCTGGAAGCTAAAAGTCCATGTGGTTGGGGCATTGATACATGGTCGGCATCCTATTTGCTACCTGGACTACCATCAAAATGCCCATGATACAAACTTGGGCCGCGGTCACACTGGGGCTACTGAATAGGCTTGAGATGGGTTTCTTTTGATATATGATCTTAACAATCTTAAGACGGTATTAAGAACAAAGTGGTCACATTAGACAAATGGCTTGTCTTATTATAGGTTAAATAAACATAGGCCGCGGTCACACTGGGGCCACTGAATAGGCTTGAGATGGGTTTCTTTTGATATATGATCTTAACAATCTTAAGACGGTATTAAGAACAAAGTGGTCACATTAGATAAATGGCTTGTCTTATTATAGGTTAAATAAACATAAACTTTGGGAATCACCTAAGGTTATTTCAGTTCATGCTCCCGACATGAACATTTATCTTTTGTTGTTTATCTGGCGTACGATTGTAACTTCACGTGAAAACCAAAGTTTGCGTAGACGTCAAACAAGAAGGCGAATATTTCAAGTACTACAGCTACAGTTTGCTTATCGTAGGCAGCATTTATTGCAGAACACAGCAGCATTCGTATTTCTGCAACTGTGTTATCAAAATTTAACTAGACGCCATGAGAGGCGATTTTGGACTTTACCTCRGCCACAGATTGGCTGGTTCGAAGTATAGCTTAACAACGCCTTCCAAAACCATGTACTGGAAAGAACATTTCCGTATGACAAAAAATACTTTCAAAGAGCTTGTTGCTCTAGTCGGTCCCGAGCTAGAGGGAGAGAATACACGATTCTGACAAGCCGTACCGGTTAGCAAGCGTGTAGCTATTTCTTTATGGCGACTTTGAGGTGGTAGTAGCTACCGAGAAATTGCTGCACACTTTGATGTTGGAAAATCAACCTGTGTTAAAATTACCAACGAGTTTTGCCTTGCCTTGAATAGATTAGCAAACAGATTTATCAAGTTTCCATCCACGATTAGGGAAACATCAAAAGCAATAGCTGGTTTTCAGCAGTATACAACATGCCAATTACCCCAGGTTGTGGGTGCACTCGATGGAACTCACATTACTATTACAGCTCCAGTTGATCACAATCCTGTGGATTATTTTGACTGAGAACACAATAAGCCTTTTCATAGTTTAAGAATCGATTCCACTGCGCATGCGATTTTATCCCGAATTTCTCACCTTCTTTCGTTTGATTAAGAACAAAAGAAGGTTTAGACAAAAGAAGGTGAGAAATTCGGGATAAAATCGCATGCGCAGTGGAATCGATTCTTAAACTATGAAAAGGCTTATTACAGCGTTATTTTGCAAGCCGTTGTTGGTGAAAATCTGATGTTTTTGGACACAGCCATAGGATACCCTGGTAGCATGCATGATGCACGTGTTCTTCGTTGTTCTGATATATTTAGACGGGCAGAGAACAATGAAATCCTGAAAGAGCCTGTAATTCTCAAAAATAACTGTGCCATCAGACCATTAATCATAGCAGATGGCGCCTATCCACTTTTGCCTTGGTTGATGAAGCCTTACCGCATAACCGCCAACATTACGCCTGTTGAACGTAGATTTAACGTGAAGCTCTCCTCATCCCATTCTGTCGTCGAGAGAGCTTTTGGATCCCTGAAAGCTCGTTGGCGTATTTTGCTAAAGAGGCTTGATGTAAAGTTTTGCAATATTTCAGACGTAATTCTAACTTGCTGCATATTGCATAACTTTTGCCAATTATCAGGAGACTATTTTGATGATCAAGAGTTATTCGCCGTGCCATCATGTTGGAACGCCAATATGCCAGAGCTAGACCGCACCTGAACATTGCTGCGGCTAATAGCCGAGTCATACGCACAGCCATTCATTAGTCAAGACCACATTCAGGAACAAAACAACAATTGCCTTTATTAATAAATACAAACTAAATACAAATCAGCTGGGAAAAAATGATAGAGTAAAACGTTATGAAATGCACCAGTTAATATTCTAAAATATTAATCATTAAACATCCACCTATTTCTTAGCTAGCAGTTCCGCCATTTTTAACAAAAATTCCCTGTCCCTTGCTCGATTTTCCTCATCAGCTTTGCGCTGATCCATCTCCAGCTTAATAAGCAAATTCTCTGTGCGTTCCTGGCCTCTGTTGAGCATTTCCATCTGCTGGTTTTGAGCATCTAGAAATTTTTCTGTGATGTCGACAAAGTTCATGGAGGAATCTATTTTGGCGCGCTTTTTCTTCTGCCTTTGCCCGTTACCTTTATCGTCTTCTGTTTTCCTCTTCGCTTTTCCTTTTTTTACGGTAGTTTCCTGTTCACTTGCTGCCTCTTCAGCACCACTTTCCTTCTCTTCAACGTCAGAAGTAGGGGATCCACGACCAGATAGATCGTACTCGCTTACACCAACATGCTTTACCCCTGGCATTGTGATCACTGCTCTTGTACCAAGCACCTCGTCTAACTCGTCATAAAAGGGGCTTCTTTGAGGAGACTCTCCGGTTTTTTTGTTCTTTGCTTTTGCCTCTTTGTAGGCTTGTTTCAAGTTCTTTAGCTTGTCCTTGCATTGCTTGAGGGTCTTCTGCGGGCCACCTTTATTTACCTCGCTCACAATTCCTTTCCATGCATCGTTGCTTTGGGAACTTTCTACTTGATCGATCCTCTCCTTCCATTCCTCCAGCAACACTCTGGTTTGTTCTTCAGACCACCTCAACTTTTTCACACTTTCTTGCTTTTCGCTCGCATCGTCTTCGCCACTGATGCGGCTGCATTCTGACGAAGAACGGCTAGGAGCAGGAGACACAGAGTTGCGTGCAGTATCAGGTATAAATTGAAAAGCACCTCCAGAGTTCCATGGTTGAAAGGTGTAGTAGGGATCAAATTGCCGATTGTTGCTCATTGCTGGCTGATTTAAAAATTGCTGGAACTGAGCTTGAGTCTGGGGAAATCGAAGATCAAAATCATTGTAGTTGTTGTTGTTGTTGTTAGCCGCCATGATAACTTTAAAGCTTCAGGTAAAAAACGCGGGAAAGTGCCGAAAAGTGAGTAGTGATCAGATGAACAAACTACTCTTCGCTCATTGGCCAAGATGTTATTCCTTCATTAAAGTGTTTACTTAGCTCGTTTCTAACCTCCTAAGAACTAGTCTTAACTTAAGCTTCGGAACTTTTCTAGTTTTATTTGTTTTCGCCTCGGATTACATGAAATCTCATAATCAAGGTAAAGGTCGGTCACACATGCATTTCTGTATAGAACAGGTTAAACAAACATGTGTTAATTATTTAGCCAGCATTTAAGCTCCAGTGTGACCGCGGCCTTGATGTGCAACATCTTAATCCAGGTAAGCAGACTTTGATGTGGGTTATGATTAGGCAGACATTCTAACAGAAAAGAGAAACAGTGCTAACATTCTTATACTCATTTTTCCCCATAAAGACATTCTGGCTGCACAGAGAGTTTCTCCCAAATAAAGTGTTTATCCAATTGGATAACACCTACAAAGAGAATAAGAACCAGTTTGTCTTCGCTTTTATGGCCTACCTTGTGGAAACAGTAAATGACAGTAAATGTCTTTCACATATAAATATGCTTGACTGTGAAGGTCTTCCACATATAAATATGCTTGACTGTGAAGGTCTTCCACATATAAATATGCTTGACTGTAAAGGTCTTTCACATATAAATATGTTAGGCTGTGAATTAGGTCTTTCACATATAAATATGCTTGACAGTGAAGGTCTTTCACATATAAATATG